TTATTAGATTTGTTTTTCTTAAAAAAATAATTAACGCTGCTATTTTGAATGGTATAAGAGCTCCATGGATTCAATGGTTAGAATTAAAGAAATGGAGGAGAAAAAGAGGAAAGGAAAAGGGGAGACCTTTTGCCCCTCTCCTCTCACTTTTCTATACACAATTTGATCACTTAAATTTAATTTTTTTATTTCAATTGTTATTTTCATTTCTTAAATTTAAAATTTAAATTTTTTTTAAATTATCAATTTAGACAGTTCAAATTTAATAATTAATATAGATTATTTAAATTTAATATTAAATTTTTTATAATTTTTATAAGATGACTATGCAAATTCACTCTAGAAGGTGCAGATTTAATATTTAAATTTTTAATAAATTTTATAAATTTTATTTTGATAATGAAAATTAAAAATCAAGATAATATTTTAATATGAAATTTTAAAAATATTTTTAAGAAAATTATGAGTTTAAAATTTTAAATCCAAAGTATTTGGCATAGATCTACGTAATCAATTTATAAAAATTAAAAAATATTAATATTAAATTTGGATAATTCATATTAATTTTGAATTGTCCATGTTGGCAATACTACATGTTTTTTTATAATTATTTATTAGAAAATAATATCAAAATCTCTCTAAATTATATAATAATAATTTGATGGCTTAAAATGTTATAATTTCATTAAAATTCCCAAAGACCTTTTTATCATTAATGAATTTATGTAGATAACCAAATCACCTTATAACAATATCATAAATTTAACATGCAAAAGTGTGATTTGCTGTTTTATGGTTACAAATATAAAAATAAAAGTTGTAATCATTCAAACAAAATTTGTGATCATTACTTATTATTTCCAACACTTATAGTAATATTAAGATTTTGACATGCAAATTTATGATTTACTGTTACATTATTGCAAATATAAAAAAATTATGATTATTTAAATAAAAATTATGATTATTACTTATTATTTCTAATTCTCGTAGCAATATTAAAAATTTGACATGTAAAATTTTGATTTGTTGTTGTATTGTTGCGAAAATAAGAAGAAAAGTTGTAGTTATTCAAACAAAACTTGTAACAATTACTTATTTTTTTCCAACAATTGTAACAATATCAGGAATTTGATATGTGAAGTTTTAATTTATTATTGCATTGTTATGAATACAAAAAGAAAAGTTATAATTATTTAAATAAAACTTGTGATTATTTTATCTTCAATAAGGACAATTTGGTTCATTGATGATAAAAAAGTTTTTAAAAACTTCAGTAAAATTATGCCGTTTTGAGGGATTAAATTATTATTTATATAATTTAAAAGGATTTTATTATCATTTTTTCTTTTTTTATGTTAAGAAATATAATATAAAAATAAAATTGAAAACTTTAAATTTAAACTGTATAGATTTAGACAGTTTAAATCTATAAAGCACTGATACTTCAAATTGCCTCAAATGTTCATATCGGTATCGCATCTAATACTGATACTTGTCAATACTTCTTTCATATATATATCCATAAAGTATTGAAATAATATTTTTTTAATTTAAAAAAATTAATTATTAACCTGTATATGATACTTCTAGATTGCAAGTCGATTCTTTAAAGCTAAAAATATTTAAAGAATTAAATTTTATTAAAAATTTTGATATTAAATTTTTGTATTACTAATATCATTTTTGGATTTACTTTTATTTGGATGTAATAAAAGAATGAAAATTACATTTTTTTTAGTTATAAACCATGAAAATGTAATTTTATGATAATCGACGAGGTAAAGATATTAATACTATATTTATTAATAAGGACTAAACCCACCTAGTGGGATAAAGGCTTGTTGTTGTTGTTGTTGTTGTTGACGAGGTAAAGATATTAATACTATATTTATTAATAAGGACTAAACAATAACAATTAGGTATAGATAGAATGAATTACAATTGACGATTATATTTTACTTAGTATTATTATAAAGAACTCTATATGTATGTTAATTGATATTTTCTAAATTAAAATTATATTTTTTATAAATATATATACGTATTAAAAATGAATCATATCTTGTATTTTTAAAAAATAAAATATCAGTATATTGAATGTGTATAGTATATGATATGCGCACTAGTAAGGCTTAAATCTGATCAGGTGAGAAGGAGTGGCAGTGGGGTTCACGAGAGAGCAGAGAAACCGAAACCGTATTTTATAGATAGTTTGGAAACTTGTCTAATATTTTTAAAAGTATCTTTAGTTAAATGCAATAAATTAAATTCTAACACAATTTTATTCATTTCTTACAATTCCTCTATCCGCCGAAATTAATTCACCCAAGAACACGCATATCAAGGGACTCTGTTTTTTTTTTTTAGCAATAGTTCATTCCATAAAAACTTCCACAAGGCTAGAGAGAGTCCAGAGACAGCCCATATGAAACAAAAAACCAGCAAAAGACGGAAAGCCAGAAATCTCATAACGTAACAGAACAAAAGCCAGCAGGAAAGCAAAGAAACAACGCAGAAATCATCCTACTGATCATAAAATTGAAAAATAAGGATGGAGAGATCATAAAATGTTTAACATTTAGGTCCTGGTTACTATAAAGAATGAAATGAAATGAAATGAAATAGATTGAAAAAATAAAAGTAAAAATAAGATGATTAAAATGATAGGTGATCACATTCACAAAAAAGAGAGGTAATTTAGTTAATAGAGTTGATAATCATGATTGATGAGATTTTTTTTAAGAGATTGATAATTTTTATATTTATAATATATATTAATGAGATTTATCATACTTACTATAAAAAAAATGTAATTTATTTCATTTTAATTTTAATCTTTTTACAATTAATTTAATTTAATTCCTTTCTAATAACTAAACTGGACCTAAGTCATGAAAACTTTCAGTGCCATGTACTTATATCTAGTTGCTAATTTTTTTTTTTAATTGAGGAAAAAGTCTTATTGAAAGTGGCGACTGGTGCGGTGAGTTCAGTGTTTTTTTCTTATTTTTTTCAGGGAAGAATGAGTTCCTTTATAACGGATTGTGATTTAATTCGACTAAATTGTAAATCATTTTTAATTTAACTCATGTTTACAAAGAAAGGGAACTGTCCAACCTAAAAAATTATGTCGTCAGCCAAAACACGAAATGGAGTTGTTAGTATTTGGCTATCGATTTTAATAGGAGAGAATAACTGACCGGTAATTTAAATATAGAAAAGTCTTTTTAAAATTTTAAAAGATTAAAGAACATTTTAATTCCATACTGTTTTTGAGGAACGCTGGACGCTCTATATTAATAAGCGAGATATTTTGTCTCCTAAATAGAAGGAGGATTTTCACTCCTCTAAAAAATAGTTTAAGAGAAAAATACCTTATTTACTAGTATAAGATGCCTAGTGTTTTTTGAAAGAAAGTATAGAAGTAAAAATGCACTTTAATCTCCTGAAATATGCAAATGATATTGAGATCTCACAAAATGTCATAATTCTTCTTAAATATTTAGGGACTTTTCATATGTTAATGATTTTTAGTGAAATAACTAAGATACTCTTGATTTAAAATAAAAAATTAAATATTAATGACTACTTTAATTTAAGTAATAACTACTTTTTTTCTAGTAATAACTAGAATAGAATAACCAATTATAACTTTCTTTGTGTAAATTTTTGATTAACTAAAGTTCAAGTGTTGTAAATATTTGTGACTATTTTAGTTTAAGCAATCACTACATTTGCAAAGGAGAAGTTATAATTGTTTGTTCTATTCTTGTCATCATCAAGAAAAAAATTATTAATATTTATTTTTAGGTTAAAGTAAATTTTTGACCCTATAATTTTTTTCAAGAAGTGTTAGATATTCTACACTAATAAATTGGACATTTTCCCTTTGAATCATTTTCCAAATAAGCAAAAATTCACCCTCCATTAATAATCCATTAATAAGGAAAAATTTTTATCCTTTAGAAAATGGTTCAAGAAAAAATGCTCTATTTATTAGTATAAGTTATCCAGCACTATTTGAAGGAAAATATAAAGGAAAAAAAGCATTTTAATCCTCATTTTTTTGGTGGAAGCTTCAATTTATTATAAAATTAAAAATTTATTCTATTTTTAAATAAAATTATTTTCCTCACCCATTCATGAATTCAAATTATAAAGTATTGAAACACTCATGCAATTATACATGGCTAGCTATAAATCTTTAATTTTAGGAAATGTACGTCATAATATTAACATTAAGAGAATGCAATTCATGTATTAATATTTTATGACTTGAAGTTTCTAAATACTTAAATAGACCCGCACCTCATACATAAATAAATCAAGGTGAGTTCAATGCAAAAAGCCAAAGGACCAAATTAAAAATGAAAAAATAATAATAAAATCTTTTTAAAATATATAAATGATAATTTAATCTCTCAAAATATTATAATTTTTTTAAAATTTTAAAAAAAAATTTTTTCATTAATGAATTTATATAAATTATTAAATTACCCTTATTGAAAATAAATGATTCACAATTTTTCTTCTTATATTCAAAACTTTTTTTCTAATATTCACAATAATGCAACAGCAAATAAAAAATTCAACATATAAAATTATCATTTGCTATTATATTATTGTAAATTTAAAAAAAAATTGTAAATATAAAAAAAAATTATGAATCATTTATTTTTAATAAAAATAATTTAATAATTTATATAAATTTATTAATGATAGAAAATTTTCTAATAATTTTAAAAAAATTATGACACTTTAATAAATTAAATTGTAATTTATGCATTTGAGAAGTATTTTATTGTCATTGTTCCATCAAAATTGATTGTAATTTGCTTTTTTTTTTTTTTGGGGGGGGTGTTAAATTTGAGGGCTAAATATACCACTTTATTGATTGATTTGCGTGGATATGGTGAGTCCACCTCATGATCTAACGGGACAATGTTGAGAATCGGCTTTTCTGGCGTTACGTGGGCGTGAGGGGAAGCAAGTGCGTGGACGCAACGGAACCCCGAGAAACTCACTCCTTTACTGATCATAAAGGCACCAAGATTTCTCCTGCACTTGCTCTCAATTTCTCATCACACTGGTGGTTTCAAAATTTGAACTATGCAGGAAGCAAAGAAAGTCCCAGATGTGATGCTGAATTCTGGGCACAAGATGCCGGTGATAGGGTTGGGAACGGCGACTGCTCCTCTTCCGCCGCCCGACGAACTCACCGCCGTCTTCCTCGACGCCATTCGTATTGGCTACCGGCATTTCGATACCGCTGCTATCTATGGAACCGAACAGCCTCTTGGCAAAGCCGTGGCCGTAGCTATAGAACAAGGTCTCGTCAAGAGTCGCGACGAATTGTTCATCACTTCCAAGCTCTGGAACACCGACGCTCATCCCGATCTTGTTCTTCCAGCTCTCAAAACATCCCTCCGGTCTGTCTTCTTGTATCTTTCCCAGCTTTTGGTATTTTTTCTCACGCGGTATACTGTGTCTTCTATATACTCAAGCATGTGCTCTTTTACTGCTCTACAGGAGGCAAAGATGTGTTTTCTTGTTATTTTTGAGATCAGGTGAAAGAGGAGTAGAAATTACTCTCCAGATAGAATTGACCAGAGAAGTAGTGATATGCTGAAAACGTGCAAGAATAATGTTCAGTTTTTAGACAAAAATTGCGATTGTCCAAATTTAGTTAAAGGTTTAGTGAGAATAAGCTTTTTTTGGTGTTGGTCCAGGTAGCACCAGTTTATTTGAAAGATCGAATCCTATTCAGCTGAACACGTCAGACACAAAAAAAAAACATATACGCGGTTTTTTTTGCCAAGTGGGGGAGACCTGCATTATTTAATTCTTATTCATCGTACCAACTTACTATAAATATTATATTTTATATTGACATGTTGATATTGTGATTTTGTGTGTTCTGTTTTTTTTTCCTTGTGTATCTTATTGTTGAGGCCTCACCATTTCTTTAAATCCAATGACTTGTTCGGACTCCTGGGTTGGAATTGTGTAGAAATCTGGGGCTGGAATATGTGGATCTGTATCTGATTCACTGGCCAGTGAGGTTGAGACCAGGGGTTGAAGGTTTCAATTTCACTGCGGAGGACGTGCTTCCGTTTGACATAGAAGGAACATGGAAGGCCATGGAAGAATGCCACAAATTGGGCTTAGTCAAGTCTATTGGGGTCAGCAACTTTGGCACCAAAAAGCTTACCCAGCTCTTAGATAATTCTGCAATCCCTCCTGCAGTTAATCAGGTGCGTATGTGCATGCATAGACTCTTTTTTTTTTTTAGCATTTTGTTATAAATTTTCCAATAAAAACAGCTGATTTCTTTTTTCAACAACAACAACAACAACAACAAGCCTTTATCCCACTAGGTGGGGTCGGCTACATGGATTGCAAGACGCCATTGTGCTCTATCATTTATTAAGCTTTTAGAAATATTATTAATTAAGAGATCACGTTCAACAACTTCCAAGAGTGTTCTCTTAGGCCTTCCTCTACCTCTCTTAATCGGACTCAAAGTTATATGTTCCACTCTTCTCACTGGTGCCTCCCTTGGTCTTCTTTGTACATGCCCAAACCATCTCAACCGATTTTCTACCATTTTTTCCTCAATAGGTGCCACCCTCACTTTTTCGCGTATGTGCTCATTTCGAATTTTATCTTTACGTGTATGTCCGCACATCCATCGTAACATTCTCATCTCTGCTACTCCAACTTTATGCTCTTGCTGTCCCGTTAGAGCCCAGCATTCACTACTATATAACATTGCCGGTCTGATAGCAGTACGATAAAACTTTCCTTTAAGTTTATTAGGCACCTTACGGTCACAAATAACTCCTTTAGCTTTTCTCCAATTAAACCACCCAGCTTGAATTCTATGTGAAATATCTCCACTGATTTCGCCATCATTTTGAATAATGGCTCCCAAATATCTAAACTTTTCCACTTGAGGTATAATTTGATCTCCCAATTTCACTTCCAAATTATTTTCGAATAGTCCTTTACCAAATTTACAATATAAATATTCCGTCTTACTTCTACTCAGACGAAAACCTTTCGACTCCAATGTCCTCCTCCATAACTCAAGTTTGCAATTAACCTCTTCTCTTGTCTCTGCTATAAGAACTATATCATCCGCGAAGAGCATACATTTCGGGATTTCCTCTTGAATATGTTCCGTCAAAACATTTAAAATCAAGTTAAACAAATAAGGACTCAGAGATGATCCCTGATGTAGTCCAATCTTTATAGGAAAATCCTTTGTTTGACCACTAGGCGTTCTTATACTAGTTTTTACCCCCTCATACATATCTTGTATGGCTTTAATATAAGCAATCCGTACTCCTTTTTTTCCAACGCTTTCCAAAGCACTTCTCTTGGTATACGGTCATAAGCTTTTTCCAAATCAATAAAAACCATGTGTAGATCTTTATCTTTACAACGATACTTTTCCATTAATCCCCTTAGTAGATAAATCGCCTCTGTAGTTGATCTACCTGGCATAAAACCAAATTGATTCTCAGAAATACTTGTCTCCAATCTCAACCTGTGCTCAATTACTTTCTCCCACAATTTCATTGTGTGGCTCATGAGTTTAATCCCTCTATAGTTAGTACAATTCTGAATATCTCCTTTATTTTTATAAATAGGAATTAATGTACTTCTCCTCCACTCATCTTTCAATTCAACACTAATTAATAAGTTATCGTTAAAGAATTTTGTAGTATATTCATAAACAATTCTACTGTAGTGGCTCTCATTAATTTTGACTTGGTAGTGAAGAGTGCTGAATGGTGATTTTAGGTGGAAATGAACACATCATGGCGTCAGGGAAAAATAAGACAGTTTTGCAAGCAGAAAGGGATCCATGTGAGTGCATGGTCACCTCTAGCAGCATACGGATTACGTTGGGGCTCCAATGCTGTGATGGAGAATCCAGTCCTTAAGGAAATTGCTGAGGCTAGAAACAAGAGTATAGCTCAGGTTCAGTACTGCAGCTTTCAAACTAAATATTTCCAAATGCAGCTTTCTTCGTGCCAACAAGTTTCATATATACCAAAAATCCTTATTCTGGTCTTTTGATCAAAAATGGTTTCATTGTCAATGGTTTTTGTTAAATGATATAGAGCAAAGGATCTAACTCAAAACTACTTGCTAACTATCCATAACTTCACCAACTAGACCATTACTTGCTAGTAGCTAATAATGACACTAATAATGACCCCATGTTTTCAAGGACCGAAATCGGACGCTCCTCAAGAAACTAAGATATAACCTCTATTTCCTTTTGCATGTGCCCAAAATGTAGTTCTTCATTCCCGTCATTTCTTGAAGCTATTTGACATATTTGAATTATAAATCGGTAACAGGAATTCCCCAGTTTCCAAGTGCCAGAAGGTGCCCTAACATGTATAGAGAAGTAGTAAAGTACTTTTTGTTCTAATGACAGAAAGTAGCAGTGAGGATCCATCTCTAGAACTAAAATGAAGGGTGATAGACAGAACCAGAGTGTTCATGAATCATAATCTTTTTTGCTCTTTCTAACTCTGTATGCAGATAGCAGTGAGATGGATATACGAGCAAGGGGCTAGCGTTATAGTGAAAAGCTTTAATAAGGAGAGGATGAAACAAAACCTAGAAATATTTGATTGGGAGCTAAGCAAAGAGGAATCAGACAAGATCAACCAGATTCCACAACGCAGGATGTACGCGGGAGAAATGTTCCTATCTGAAAATGGGCCTTACAAGTCCTTAGAAGAACTCTGGGACGGTGATATCTGAATCAAACCTCATTCATATGCAGCTTGAGGAGAATAATAGTTAATAAAGTCCTTAGAAGAACTCTGGGACGGTGATATCTGAATCAAACCTCATTCATATGCAGCTTAAGGAGAATAATAGTTAATTAACTATGATTCTCCTTAAGAGAAAACTGTAAATGAGTATACTTCGAGATGTGGACATCATATATAGCTATATTCTCTTGTACTTTCTTTCCAAATAAATAAGGGAAACTTCAGCAAAGGATCCCTATAAGGGTTTAATTGTAAATAGAAAATAATAGAATGTGCAAATGTAATGTAGGGATCTAAGAGACTGAATTGAAAATATATTTTGATAAGAAATAATTAAAATATCCTTCATTTTTTATTAAGTTAAATTAAGATTCTAACAAGTAAATTTTATATTTTAACAAGCCAATAAGATTAAATATGCAAAAAGTATTGTTAACAATTTTTTTTAATAAATTTACAAGTGCTACTTTGTTTTTTAATATAAGAAAAATTATCTTATATTTCTTTTCTTTTATAAGAAAAGTTATAACATTTAAAAAACATTTATCACATTTTTTTAAATTGTTCTTCATAATGTCAATATTTATTTTCACTAGACAAATTTATTTCATTAATTATAGAGATAATTTAGTTCAATTTCATACATAATTATTATACTTAATAATTTTTTTAAACTGTGTGAATTGGTTATTTATATTTTATTTGAAAATAGAGAGAGTACATATTTCTAAAATGATAAATTATATTAATATATTAACAAAACTGCTTTATATTGTAACAAGCAACTAAAGATATTCACAAGAAGTTTCATGACTTGAGGGCTGAGGGCCTCGTTTTCACAAGAGATTGTTAACTCTAGTATCTTAATTTATATAAATTAAATAAAATTAAGTAGAGTAAAATGCATATCTAAAAAATTTATGATTGATTGTAATTTCTCGATTACATCGAATATAAAAAGACGCACAATTCACTAAACTCCTATAGTTTGTAGAGAATTCAAAAAATAACAAAATAAGTGAAAGCTATCGTGTGTTTGCGGTTATCGATTAATCAGCTTATATGAGCTAGATCAGTAACTACTTTAATAAATTAATTAATTAATTAATTAATTATATTTTATTATCTCCAGTCAGTTAATAGATAGAAAATAACTGATGGCTATAGGATTGTAGGTTGGATCTCTACCTATTAGGCTCACTTATATGGTTCACCTATTACGGTTCACACAAAATTATAAAAACCAATCTATTTAAGTTTATTAATTAATGTAAATACATAAATAAATATTCCAAGAGTCGGGGCTTCAACCCCTCCTTTTGTGGGATCATTGAGCTTCTTCCTTATTGAGTGTTTTTTTTTTTTAATTAACAAGTAGTGCATTAATCCAACTAAGAGATCAGTTCTCAACTTGTATCTTAGCCTTCTCATCATCCACCATGTCTGGCACCCTTATTTAAGTTTTAGAAAAAAAACATAACTTTAAATCTTTATATTTTGTTTAAATTTTGTTACAAGTTTTTATTATTTTTTTAGTATTCCAGATCCCTGAACTTTTTTCTTTTAGGTTCCTATAATACTGTTAATGAAAAGACATAAAATGTCGAAGGAAAAAAAGTGTAATAATATGAAACATTGAAAATAAAAATATAAAAATTTATAATAAAATTTGAGCAAATTACATAAACATAAAGTTATCTTTTCCTAAAGTTTTATGACCCAAAATGAAGAGGGGTCGGGGGACCACTATGAAGCCAATCAAACTTTTCATGGTTTCATTCACGTATAAACTATATGTCCATTTTTACCAAAACAAAAAATTTATCTGTTTCTTTTTTTTTTTTCCCTTCTAGAATGCTCTCATAGTTCTCGTCTCATCTACGTTCTTTTTTGGAAAACATCTACATATTTTTTAAAAACAAATCTACATATCTTTTTGGGTCCTTAACAAATCTGTTTTCTGTGAAATTCATGTAGGCCATATCCGAGAATGGCGGGAGGCACTCGTGCGTTCAAATGCTCAAAAAAAGTAGTCGGCCTCCCTCCTTTAAAAAAAAATCTCATCTGCCTCTCTTTTAAGGCAGAAAAAAATTTAGACCTGAATAATTCAAATTTAATAATTTTATTTTTTATTCATGTTTTTAAAATATAAATGTATAAAAATTGTAAATAATTTTAATAAATATACTTATCGATTTGACAGTCTAAGTTTAATATAGATAATTTTAAATTTAATATAAAAAAATTTAAATTGACTTTTTAAATATATTCTGAACCATGTAAAAATATTCCGAACAGAACGGTAAGTTTATTAAAAAAATTTAATATTAATTTTGGACCGTCTATATTAAATTTAAACTGTTAGATTAATAAATATATTTATTAAAAAATTTTACAATCTTTATCTATTTTTTATTTTAAAAATATAAATAAAAATAAAAATATTAAATTTAGACTGTCCAAATTTAAATTAAACTTTTGTCTCAAAGGAGAGGCATAGGAGGCTTCTCTCAAAAGTTTCAAAAAATATTAATAAGGATAGCCACAATAAAAGTTAGGACTAAGATTCAATTTTACTGTTACACTTATTTTTTTAGGAGTGCTGGATACCTATATTTTTAAGTGAAGCAATTTTTCATGAAGTATTTTTTCAAGGTCCAAAGAGCCCTTATGTTTGAAGGCAGTTAATTTTTTCATTTTTTGCTAACATGAGATCCACATACAGTAACAAATAAGACTTTGATCATATTTTTTGTGTTAATTTGCATCTAAACTCTTTTTTTAGAATGTTGGGCACCCTAAAATCTTTTTATAGGAGTAATAGGTACCTTGAAATCTTATTAAAATAAAATTTAATTAATATTGTCAAATACTAAATATTTTCATATTTAATAATTTAAATATTATTATTTATAAATATTTATTCAAATTTATAAATTACTTTTCAAATATTAACAATTCAAACTAGCATTTTGTAATTTTATAAATGACTTTTTATTTTTTAGATATCAATTTTTAATCTTTATCCCAAGACAATACCCAAATCGTTAATTTAAAAGTTCATTCTTTTCATTTTTAATATAAAATTGCCAAATATCAAAAATATTAAAATATTAAAGGGTGATGTAATGATTTAAATAATAATATTTAAATTATTAAATACTCAAATACTTATTATTTTAATAATATTTATTAAATTTTATTTTAATAAGACTTCAAAGCATTCAAAAACTTCTAAAAAAACGTTATATATTTAGTATTTCTAGAAAAATAGTTTTATAAGTAAATAGCGAATGGTAATTAAAGTCTTACATGTGCGTAAGATCCACACACACATGTTATGTCAATAACCAAAAAAAATTAACAATTAATTAATAAAAAAGTTTTTTGCTTCTTGAAAAAATAATTCAAGAATAAAATTCTTTCACTTAAAAATATAAAGTACCCGGCGTTCCTCAAAAAAAAGTATGGAAACAAAATTAAATCTCAATCTTAAAGTTGCCTCATTAGTAGAATAGACTTAGTGTTCTCCATGAACTTTGTATTTATTCCTTCTTTGATTAACATCTCGGTTTTATTTTTCTGAATAATATCAATACGCCTCTATGGAAACAAGAAAAAAAAGATATTGCATATACTTATTCTTTACCAAATATTGCATATAGAACATTCACAAAGAATAAACACGAGTCTTCCTTCTCACACCCTATAATACATTTAAAAGGTGTCTAAATGAAATAAATATACCCTACTCTTGAAAATCAGGGCATGGAGTAACAGACCAGACTCAAACTCGAGGTCAAAATCACCACAACGGTGGTGACAACAAAGCAAAACAGAAACAACTACAAGAAGGTCCAAGAGACAAGTGACAATGATGTGACAAATGATTGCAGCAAAATCTTTATTGGAGCCTGATTAAGAGTGCCTCTATTTATTAGGTAAAAGTTGTTAAGGTAACAGGTTTTCTAGCTCTGTAAAGAAAGTTCATAAAAGAAAAGAAAAAAGAGATAGTATTGCAAAGTTTGGTTAAAGGATGGCAGTACACAAGTAGTCCCAAAGAAGGACCTATTTTGGGATCTAACATGCTTCTCTAGGAGCCGAGTCCCATTGTCAGCTTTCCCTTATACATAAAAGAACCACAGAATTAATGTAATTCTCTACACAATGCCTATGAAATGAAGACAGTAACAGCTCTAGGGGACTCTTGTGAGGACAAAATGTCTGGTTACTCGCACTTAATGGATCGATATATGTGACGAACAAAGAGCAAAGCAGCACGGAAACCAACAGTTCCAAGCATCAAGAAGAAACCATAGCATATACAGGCCATGTATCCAAAGAAAAATGAAGTCTGCATGAACCCAGACATATCAGATCGAGCATAGTAGTAATACAAACAGTAGGCATAGATGAACAGGCCTGTCGATCCACCGCACAGGAATGACCTGAAAGGAAACGTAACCACAGGTCAAGCACAGTGAGCATATAATAATTTCTCCTGAACACCAGTTTTCATGGACATGATTGGATTGAGTACAATGGAGACTGGGGAGAGAGGATGAAGAAATTTTCTGACATCCTCCCGAATCTAATATTTTCTCTTAGACAAATGTTTGGATCGAAGAGAGAACGAATTGAAAGGCAAGAATCAGAGATAATTTTTTCTCTTTTTAGAAAATGTCTGAACTAAAAATTTCTCTCTTCTCCCCACTCACTTTGAATAAGTTTTAAATTTAAACTAAACAAGCATGTGATAAATAAATGCAGGCAATCTCACCAGTAAAACATGACTTCAAAAAATGAAACTGTTCAGTAGGTAAATGGAATGCAGGCTAAATAAATGCAGGCAATCTCACCAATAAAACATGACTTCAAAAAATGAAACTATTCAGTAGGTAAATGGAAATGCGAGAAAGCTTTTACTCTCGCAGCTCTATTTTTACTGGAGGATTGCGGTGAGGGTCCACAGGTTCAGAAATATGAATACAGAAGTGACAATGAGGAACGTCTTAATAGATTTGATGGCCAAAAACCACAAGAAAAGCGATAGTTTTTTGTTGACAATATCAAGGCAATCATCATGAACTTTATCACCAATATTAATTGTTAAATTCAAAATTTTGATTTTTCAAAATTTAAATTATCATAGGCGTTCATTTTTTATTTTGAAAAAATTCATATAAAAAATAACAACTAAGAAAATCACAGTTTTACCTTCAAAATTTCGGCATTTCAAAATTTAAATTATCAGAGGTGTTCATTTTTCATTTGGAAAAATATTCATATAAAAATAATAACTTAAAAAAAATCACAGTTTACAGATTATCGCTTGAATATTGATATAATAACAACTATAACAGGATCCGGCATCAAGATCATCCAAGAGGCAGATAATTAAGAACACAACAAAGGTCTGATATATTACGACACACAAAATAGAAACACCAATACAAGCACAGGGGCAAGAGATAGAAGATCATCACTTCTGTTAATGCAAAACTAATTAGCCTAGAATAAGATCAATGTTTATGTAACAACCCATTTTCTAGACCCACCAGGAAGTCAAGTACCAGAGCAAAGCGTGCCAAAGTTACTAGCAAACAAATAACCATAAGTCAATTAGCTGTCAAATCAGATAGCATGCATGACAACAAACCAAGAAGGAGATTGTGGCAAGTAGTACACTCACCTCCACCACCATTCATGATCCTCAGCAGCAAGCTGGAAATATGTCAATGCCACGGTAATGAAAGCAGTAACAATCAACAGAATAATGAAGACAATGAACAGGATGCTATATATGGTGTAAATCCTGTGACCCCAGACGCTTGCAAATATATAGTAAAGTTCAATGTATATTGCACTGAAAGGCAAAAATCCTGCCATTGCCATCTGGGGAATTGTTCCACGATACCATGGCAATGGCGGAATCTCCCTGGGATATTTAGTGTGTTCGGACAGGAGCTTGGAATTCTGACTTGCTATTCTTTCCAGCAATCCCACCCAACACAAAAGGTGATGTCACAAGGGTCCATATAAGAACTATCACCACAATTGTGCCAAATGGAAGAGCAGCAGTAGCATTGTAAGCAATTGCTACAGTATTCAGAAAGCAGAACGTAAGGAACAGAGGTCCACAGAAAAGGCACCCAGTTAAAAGTAGATTTCTGACCTGTCATGACAACAGGGCAAGTGCATAACATCAACAAAAATCAAATTAAAGATAAATCAGAACAGGACCAAGTCGCATAGAAAATTCCTAAGCACACACCCAATTTGTTCCTTCAAGCTGACAGAGAAGGAGGTTGCAGTGTAACCAGCAATTCCCGAAGTCAGTGCTATATGACAACAAGCGCAGTAAATAGAGCTCCTCGATTGTATGGATAAAATACACCAACAAGTGCCAGAATGAATATGAATACAGTTCTGCAAAACATGCATAAATACAGTTTATTTTCAAAATCTTATAAAGACAAATATCACAATAACTTTACAGAGATGTGCCTCTAGGGACTAAAAGATACTTACAGTGTAAACAGCTGGGTGCCAGAGCCAAGGGCAGCTGCAAATAGAGACTTGAACTTGGGAAACCTAAATACATCTCCATGGATGTATTTCCAACCAGTCTCTTCCTGGTCCTCAGCAGATTCTTCATCATGGGCATATCTTTGGGAAAGACAGAAACAATTTATCAGCAAAGAGAAAAAGATTCTCCAATATGGTCAAAGTAAACAGGCACTGCAAAAAATAAAATAAAAATGGATGAACAGTTCTTACTTGACAAAATCGTTCTTAAGGACTCGCATGAGAATGGTTGCCAAAAACCCAGTTAGAAGAAGTACAGTCACACACGAATTTATGATTGAAAACCAATGGATCTCCAAATGATGAGGCAGCGAAGAAGATTGAGAGTACTTGTCCATCCGCTTCTCAAAAGGAGTAGTAGTCTCCTTCCATTTTACAGTATAAAGAAATTCCACATCAACCTCTCTATCCTCTGTAAGGTCCACAAGTGCATTCGGATCTGTTCGTACATTGATTTCAATGACACGGTCCTTGTTATAAAAATTTCAAAGTGAATCTGCTTGTAAAGGTAGTACTTATAATCACTAGGGTCTTTTCCATCCTTATCATTTTTCCTATGAAACCCAAATAGGTAAATCAATCAATAGTACATCTGAAAGTAGTAGTCCTTGCGCACAGCAGACCGAAACTTGGCCACTTCTTCTTTATTGAGCTTCCTTTACAAACTAATTCAGAATCTTTCCCGTCGGAATTCAAGTTTATAAGGGGCACTTACTAAACGATCACCATTCAATACTTCTCCAAGAGCTTCCTTTTTCTCCTTCAAGTCATCTGCAACCAGTATCCAAAAAAAATAGAATGACCACTAAAAAAGAAAGTCAATAGAAAAGGATGATTCTAAATGACTAAAAACCAACCTGGTAACAGAATGCAAGATCAAAGTAGCGGTAGGTTTCACTGAAAAGAAAA